TCCCTTCCCTTCCCTTCCCTTCCCTTCGAGTTGGAGTTTCACATGTTGCCCAGACTACAGTGCACAGCTTTGACCTGCTGGCTCAGACAATCCTTCTGTCTCAGCCTTCCAAGTAGCTGGAGCCACAGGCATGCACCACCACACCTGGCTAATTTTTTTGTTTATTGTTGAGATGAAATCTCACCAAGTTGCCCAGGTTGTTCTAGAACTCCTGACCTCTGGAACTCCTCACCTCCACCTCCCAACGTGCTCAGATTACAGGCATGAGCCACAGCGCCTGGCTAGGATCTTTTGCCAAGCTCAGCTGACATGACTGTTAGCAGGATTCAGTTTCTCACAGGTTGATGGATGGAGGCCTCAGTTTTTTGCTGGCTGTTGGCCAGAGGCCTCCCTCAGTTTCTTACCATGTGGCCTCTCCTTAGGGCAGCTCACAATATGACACTGTCTGTCTTCAAATCGAATGAAAGAGAGACCAAGAGGGAGCAAACAGATGAAAGCCCACAGTCTTTTTGCAATCTAATCTTGGAAATGACATCCTCTCACTCTATTCTAGTCATTAGAAGCAAGTTACTAGGTCCAGTTGATGCTCAAGGAGAAGGGATTACACAAGGGCTTGAATACCATGAGGCAGGGATTATTGGGGCCTCATCTTGGAGGCTACCTGTCACAGAGATGTAAAAGAAAATAACTAAGAAACAAAGTAGTACTATATTACCTAGCTCCATCTCCTAAGAGAAGCTATATTCAATGATATCTCAGTAGCATTGAGCACACCCAGTACCTAGATCTTGGTTTTTAAATACCATCCTGGGGCTCCTTGGAATGGCTGATTTTTTGGGGCTGGGGCAGGAGAGATACAAGATAAGCCTGGAGCATCTTGGTAGTTCTAGAAAATAAAAAACAAACAAACAAAAGGAACACATGAACTCAACTTAAAAGAACTCCCCAGAAGACAAAGCTGGAACGGTTTGAGCAACAAAATAAAAATCATACTATAAATATAAAACGTTTAAAAAACAAGAGGTTACCTAAACAAATGATTGAATATAAATGAATAAATGGGGATTAGAGACAAATCTTCCCCATACAAGGATTCCAAATAAGGTATGTAGTTTTCCCCTCCAGGAGGTGAAGCCTAAAACCCTACTCCCTCTTAAATGTGGGCAGAACTTAGTGGCTTGTTTTCAAAGAAGGGAATATGGAAAGGGAGAAATGCAACTTTACAGTGGAGGAGCTAGCAAACCTTACCATGTAAGATAATCAAGGCTAACCAGTAATAAGTTATATTATACCAGTAATAAGTTATGCTGATGTCATATACCTTCTGATATAATGTGATGAGAGGGCATCTCACCACATGATGATATTTTCCCCAACCCCAAAACCACAGTCTAATCATGAGAAAAACATCAGACAAACTAAAATCAAGGGACATTTTACAAAAGACCTGACCTGACTCCTCAAAACCGCCATCATCATATCAAAGTCACAAAAAACGAATAGATTGAATAACTGGCCAAGTGCCGTGGTTCACACCCGTAATCCCAGTACTTTGGGACTCTGAGGCGGAAGGGATGTTTGAACCCAGGAGTTCAAAACCAGCTTAGGCGACATAATAAGACTTCATCTTAACTAAAAATAAAAAATAGCCAGGCATGATGCCAGGTGTCTGTAGTCCCAGCTACTCAAGAGGCTAAGGCAGATGTATCTTCTGAGCCCAGGAGGTGGAGGTTGCTATGAGCTGTGATCATGCCACTGCACTCCCGCCTGGGCAACAGAGTGAGACCCTGACCCCCCAAAATATAAAGGATTAAAAAACTCTCATAGAGGAGACTAAGGAGACTATGATGACTAATTCAATATGGCACTTTGGATTGAATCCTGGAAAAGAAAAAAGGACGGTAGTAAAACCCGAATAAATTCTGGAATTTAGTAAACAGTAATGTACCAATGTTGGCCCCTTAGTTTTGAAAATGTAATGCAAGATACATTAGGGAAACTGGGTACGGGGTAGACAGGAATTATCAGTACTATGTTTGTAACTTTTCCATAAATCAAAAATAATTCTAAGATAGTTAATTAAAAACAAAAAGCTAAGCATTTTAGAAGTGTGATGACAGGGAAATCTTCCCCTAGATTAGCTTCTGGCTCAGCACGGTTCAAATCCTCTTTCTCCTCTACCAACCATATACTTCTAGTGCCAGGTATCAAGAGACACGTTGATAGGCCCTTTGTGTCACAGCACTGAGTGAGATGGCAAGAATGACTTTCTAGAAGTTGTTCCAGTACCAGGAGAGCCAGCAGTAACTTATCATGAAGTAGGCCGGGTTTAATTCAACTCTCTTCCCCTGTACCCCAGATCCCCAAAACGTCTAGGGCCTCTCTAGGTCACCCAGCATGAAGGTAAGTATGAAGAAAGGGAAGTTGGAAAGGACAAAAGACGTCTTAACCTATTTCTGTTTGAAGGATGCTTAAAGCCACCTTCCTTTTAAAAAATACTTGACCGCGTTAATTCTGTACCAGGGTTCTTCCATGGTCCTTGGGAAGGGCTGGTGCAAGTCGGGGAGCCTGAAGCACAAACTTAATTAGCTTAGCATTAAATCTACCCTAGAAAGGAGAAACAAGTGACTTTGCCAGACATGTCACCATCTGAGGTCCGACCCCTTCACCTCCAATGGGCTTTCATCCAACCCCAGACCAAGCACTCACTTACCAGCAAGCGTTCCCTGAGCCACTCTGGAGAGTCCTAGGCTCCCACCTTGATTCTATGATAACATCTGATACTATATATGAAGCTTATGTTATCTCCCTGTCGTTTTGTAGGTTCAGTTAGGGCGTGGTTCAAGGCTTTAAAAAATCTTTGTGCTGTCATAGTGGGTCCCCAACAAGCCTTTGTTGCGTAAACGAAATAATGCTCTTGCTGAAGCAGGAAAGCCCTCGCCAAAGAAAAGACTGGTGCCACCCAGGGGCATAAAAACAACAGAGCTCCAGCGCCGGCCCAGCGACCTCCGGGATCAAACGCAATGGGAGGGTAAGAGAGACAGCCAATCAGCAATAGTCTCCTGAAAGGCCGTACAGAAATACTGACAGGTTTCTCACCCTGCATATGAATCTTTCCTCGCGCCCACACTCATTTCTGTGCTGCATATAGTTAGCGGAAGGGCAGCGATCACATTTTAATGACAGAATTAGCTGAAATCCAGCATATCCTGAAACAGTCAACTATTTAAAAAGCACGTGCCCCAATGAATCAGACTAACAGATGCTGGAATATAGACGGTAAACTCCTCGCCCATCAGGCACTTTCTACACGCGCACCCTTGCTCCTCCTAGAGAAACACAACCGGATGTGAGGTCCGCGCAGGCAGCAGATCTGCCGGGTGAGCACCAGTCCTGCAGCGTGGGACGAGATGGGCCCCACCTGTTAGGTTAACAAGGGGCTTAAGATGCTTTCAAGGTAATGCACCCTTGCGACTACATTCAGCACGTGGGTCTTTCAGAAACACTCAGAGCACGAAGTTTACAAACAAAAGCACTTCCCAGCGAAGGCACAAAACAGGTTGCACGCGAAAGCCCCCACCCCTACGCGTGCGCACACCGACGGCGAAAGGCGGCCCCGAGCGCGAGCGCCAGACACTTCGCCTTCCGCCGGCGTCTCCCTGGGCCCGCCTCCGAGCCGGAGAGAAACAGCTGATTGGTCACCTTGTCCCCGGCTCGGGCGGGGATTAGCTGATTGGCAGCGACGCCCCGGCACAGCCAAGCTGGAGGCCTGAATAGCAGGAGCGGGGTCGCTGGCTGCCGCGCGGCGGAGGTAAGTGGGGTCTCCGAAAAGCGCTTGGGTGAGAGGGTCTTGGAGGCGGCTCCGGACCTAACGGCGATGGAACACTCCGGTAACAGTCAGGGGAGGAGGCTAGGGAGCCGGCCTCGGGAATGCGAGGTGACCAGCGGGCTCCGTGGGCCGGCTGGGTGTGTGCCCCGCGGCCGGGAGGCAGAGACGTTCTCGGGCAGCCTCGGTGGCCGAGGGCCCTCGTGGGTCCGGAGCTTTGGCGGATCGAGCCGGCTGGCTTGCGCTGTAGGCTGAGACTTACTTGCCCACCCAGTCATCCGCCCCCACGACTCTTCCCCCTCCTTCGGTCCATCTTTCGAGGTCCCCGCTTCCCGAGCCGGCCGCCAGGCGGCGGTTCCCTTGGGTGTCGCGCCCTTTCCCGGGACTCTGCGGCTGCGCCTCCAGCCCGCCCCGCGGATTCCGGGCGGAGTGCGCTCGCTGGTCTACCTAGGAGGCTTAACCAGCTTCACTTGTTTTCGGTCACACCCCCAGGGGGGCCACCAGAATGTTAGGTCAGGCCCGCTGGGGTGTGGGTGTCTGCCGTGCGACCTGGGCGTGAAAGACGCAAAGAACTGCACAGAAGTTAGATGAGAAAATATAGTTTATTCTCCCTTCTTGTTATTTTAAAATATTCTTATTTGTGCCTGGGAATAAAGACGAAGGTCAGGCTTCTGTAGCAACTTCCTGCTGAACATGAGGGCGTAGAGGTGTCCCTCCCTACCTGTCTAGAGCAAGAGGAGGGAATGAGAGGCCAGGAGCCCATGGAGTTGTAAGTATCTTTAGTATCTGTATACAAAGCACTGTGTACAAGCATATCCTATTAGAACCAATACACTATAATGAAGACCATTATAGCTGCTGTTATGGCATATTGGGGTGTTGATGTTTAGTAAAATGTATTTATAATTACCCCGCTGGACCCAGCACCCACCACTGGAGTCCTGGCAGTTTCTACCGTTGCACCGGTGAATTCCTTAGTCCATGTGTGGATGTCTCTGCAGCTTATCTTCAAGTTTCTTTGGGCTCTGTGACAGGAATTTATAGACAGTTATGAGGGTATTGTTAGTAATGACTTTAGCAAGGAAATACAGCTACTTTGACGAAGTTTGAAGGAAAAAAAATGGAAAGTATTAGTTTGGAGACTTAGGCTTTGGTTTAAATTGTAGGAAATAATAATGAACGAGAGTTTAAAACAGGTAACACTGGCAAGAGAAAACTGTCCCTTTTGTTTTTTTTTGAGTCGGAGTCTCACTCTGTCACCCAGGCTGGAGTGCAGTGGCATGACCACGGCCACTGCAGCCTCTTACCTGCTGGTCTCAGGCGATCCTTCCACCTCGCCTTCCAAGTAGCTGGGACTACAGGTGTGTGCACCACCATGCCTGGCTAATTGTTTGAGTTATTGCAGAGATGAGGTCTCACCAGGTTGCCCAGGCTGGTCTTGAACCTGTGGGCTCAGGCAATTCTCTCACCTCGAATTCCAAAAGTGACAGGATTATAGGTGTGAGCCACCACGCCTGACTCCTTTTGTTTTTGTAATAGGTCTGTTAAACCTTCAGAATGATTGGTATGCTAGAGGGAGAACCCCTTGTAACCTCTACTCGGGACATCTCTCCGCTTTTGATGAGAGTAGTGAGATGGTATTGGCCTTCTGCCTTGACAGGGAAATATTATCTTAAAGTTTAACAAAAATCGTTAGTAATACTTTAAACAGAAAGTCATTTTGTATCCATCCTATGTTGGATTAGTAATCTTTAAACCTGGAAGGAGATTTTAAAGTCATTAGCAATTTGGTACTGAAAAGCACTATAGCTGTGAGTGAAATTAATTTACCTGGTCTGTAGGTAGTTTTAGGAGGAGGGTGTGATTCCTGAAACTTTTTGTTTATTGCCTCACCCTTAGAGACTGAGTTAAGAACTTGAAGTGTATAAGTAGTAAAAGCTTTAAAAGCATAATGTTATAACACAGGATTACAGGCCATTGTAAATGACCTATTTAACAAGTGATAGTCTAAAATTTAAAAAAATAAAAAACCTCACTTTCTAACAAAGATGGTGGGAGGTGGGGCTAACTGAATTTGTCTCTTCCTCCCCCTCTCTGTTGTTTACAGGAGAAATTCTTTTAGAGATTGTTAATTAAGAAGCTTGTGTTCTGGTTCTTGAGTAGCATTTTGGCCTACCATGAGTGTAATTGATATTAATGGTAAATTCATAGAATGTTTTTATTGTCTTGAGTGTTCATAGAATTTCTTTTACATATTTCTTTCCACAAACCTTCCACATACCATGTTCGACATACCATTTTTTCGACATGCTTGAACCTTCTATTTTTGTCCTATACTTTCTTTCCTTCAAATAATTAGTCATTCTATTATAGAACAAAAATGTACCATACAAGATCCTTATATAGAATTATTCCCTTTCCCTTATATCCTTCCTTACCCAAAACATACTTTTATTTTTATATCAACAACTTTCTTTGCGTTTTTCCTTTGCTTTCTTGGCCCTCTGGTTCTGCATCCCTCCATGTTGGCACCCTGTTGCTTTTTTAATGTCTCTGCTGAAAAAATCCTCAAAAGTTCTTTTTTAATTGGCTATACATATGACATTTCCTTTTTTTTTAATTGTAGAGACAAGTTCTCAACAAGTTGCCTGGGCTGGTCTCAAGCCTGCGGGCTCAGGCAATCCACTCGCCTTGGCACCCCCAAAGTGCTGGGATTACAGGCTGAGCCACTGAACTTGGCCATCCTTTTTTAACCTTTTATAGATAACTTTTTACATTTATACTTTGAATTAAGCTTTAATAACTTTTGGTTAAGATAAGGTCATATGATTCCAACATGGAGAGCCAGGACCAAACGGCTGGCACATGTGTTAATTAAGAAATTAATTTGGAGTGGGGCATGGTGGCTCATGCCTGTAATCCCAGCACTTTGGGAAGCAGAGATGAGAGGATTGCCTGAGTCCGGGGTTTTGAGACCAGCCTGGGCAACTTGGCGAGACCTCGTCTCTACAATGAATCAAAAAATTAACCCGGTGTGGTGGCGTGTGCCTGTGGTTCCAGCTACTTGGAAGGTTAAGACGGAAGGATCACCTGAGCTCAGTAGGTCAGGGCTGCGGTGGCCATGAGTGTGCCACTGTACTCCAGTCTGGATGACAGTGTGACTCCTGCTTAAAAAAAAAAAATTAATTAATTTGGATTCCAGTATCCTAATATTCATCTGGGGGGTTGTTGGAGTGATGGTGAACCAGTGCCAGGAATTTAGCAGATTTTCAGGCCTCCTTAAATGACCACAATTTCTGAGCCAGGTGTTCTCTCCTGTCTTCAGAAGAGAGTGTGCTTGCTTTCCAATGGCTTTCTGGGCCCAATGGACATGGTCCAGGAGGTTTAGGCCTCTCTGGGGCAATTACTCTTCTAGTGGCCTCCCCCCCCCCACGAGTGTACTCAGAGCAACGGACACCATTCCCCTTAGCAGGTTCATTCTTACCAGGTCTCTGACAGGCAGTTGGAGTTTTGTCACTAGTTGCGACTGCCAGTTGGGTTGCCTCTTTGGCCCTCTGGTTCTGCAACCCTCCATGTTGGCACCCTGTTGCTTTTTTAATGTCTCTGCTGAAAAAAAACCCTCAAAAGTTCTTTTTTAATTGGCTATACATATGACATTTTTGACCATTTCTCTGTCTGTAACAGTCTGATGTAAAACCCTTTAGGGTGAAGAGACTACATGGATGTGAAAGGATCTGTCCTTATTTCCAATTATAAACAGGCACATTTGTTAAAAACCATTTATAAATTGCTAAATTACAGTTTTAGTTGTAAAGTGTGGACAATTAGGTGGAAGTGATTAGCTCCCATCCTCATCGTGCAAACACAGAATACCCAGTTTTTCATCCATCCGGCAGAAGTATTAGACTTAGTAAAAGTGTTAGCTTTCTTCCCAAAAGCTTTAGCAAGCCTGACATAACAGACACTGGTGTTATCTAGTACTAATGCTTGAGCACATGGTAAAGTTGGAATTAAAATTTTACTAGAGCCCTTATAAGTTTGGTTTGGAAAATCATTTTAAAATCAGAAATCTTCAACCTCTGGAGAAGTTGAGTGAATAGTATAAAGACTTCAGTGTTCTCATCACCTGGTTTCAGTAATTATCAATACATGGCCAGTCTTGCTTCCTGTTCCCAAGTTATTTTGAGGTAAATCACAAATTTTATATCATTTCACCTCTTTTACATATTTCTATGCTTCTGTCGTGATTAATAATCATTTGCTTTCTAGAGGGGTTGAGTAAAATAAGGCACGTATTAAAGTGTAGGTGGCGCGAATGTAGTTTGTACTACCAGAATGTGGGCAGTCTTCCCATAGTTCAGTTTCCTTACCCCGAGTTCAGGTTTTCAAAATCAAAGATACTATATAATCTAGGCAGTAGTGTTACTGCTTTTGAGCAGAAATAACTGTATTGATAATTTATATTTATGAAGTTCTTAGTGTGTTAAAGCATTGTGAAATTGTTTCCACCTATTCATTTAATTTTAACTATAGCTCAGTTAAATAGGTATTAGTATCCCCATTTTATAGTGAAGGAAAAAAAAATTAGAGAGATCACAATTTGCTTAAGGTCGCATTGCTGAAAGGATGGGAATTAGAATTCAGGATGCTATCTTGGCCTTTAACATTGCAAAGTTCTTGCTCTTTAAACTGTAATAGAATGTTCTACCTGTTGTAGCATAATGAAACTATAGTGGAAAATTATTTCTTTGAGTTGTAAAACCGTAATAAAAAAAGCAAAATTTACACGAGTACAAAACAATAGTGAAAGAGGTATGTTTGTCTCTTTGCAACATGAAAGAATAATGCAACTGAATTTAGAGTCATAAGCAAAGTATATAAACATAGTTCAACAAATATAAGTAAGTGTTAAGCATTTTATTCGTTAATATTTGGTCAGCTACAGGGAAAGGAAAAATATACATCAATGTATAGTCTCTACCACT